TCTTGCATTTTTTTAAACACATACCCCACCMCCAAACCCTAACCCCTTATTTTATTCTGTCGCCTCCTCCCTCTACCCCGCCACCACCTCGTCCGATCTCTGCTACCACCATCGGTCTCGCCACACCGGTGAGCGATTGTCTCTTTTATTTGTCCTTTTTTATTTCTTCTTTTGTTTGTTTCTTTTTTCAAGATTATCTAATATAGTCTAATTTTGTTTTATTCTCTTTTTTTTAGGTTTGAAACCACTTCATTCCTTTATTTTTGGAATTACAAGGATCAAGATTTTTTTTTTCATTTTCTTTTATTATTACTATTCAATTTTATTTATTTATTTGTATATTGTGCTATATTTAATTGGTGAATGAATCTAATTTATTTGTTTAATTCGTACATGTATTTTTAATTTGTTTCTTTCTTGGATTTATGCAATTATAAAATCATATATTTATTATTTATTTTGTGTTAGAAACGCGTAGTTTATTCTTTTGATTAGTGTAGTTAGATTTAATTGTTAATTAATATATTATTTATTTGTTTAAATAATATATATTTATGTAATTTATTTATTTTATTAAATAATCGTAGGTATTTATAATTATAAGATTATGCATATTTTTGTATTATATTTCTTAATTACTATCTTTTTATATGTTTAATTAATTTATATGTATTGATTTGTTTTTTATTTAATACATGTGTGTAATTATAAAATTATACCTTTTTATTACAATTAAATAGAGGTTATTTATTTGATTGGTGTAGTTAAATTTAATTAGGAACTTAATTAAAGATATCCTTTTCCAATTTAGGATTGAAATGATAGCTAAATGTTTGGCGATTGTACTGTATATGAATGGAGGTACTGTTGATGGTGTAAATGAAATTGATTACAATGGACTGTCAAGTGGAGGTTTTACTGTGGTATTGAGTTTGAACATTTTGTTCAAATGGTTGGAGTGTCATTGAAGTTAGATATGGGGAGGAGTAAATTATAACTTGTTTATAGACACCCTAATCAARCACCATCGAGTTCCATTAAATACATTCTTATTCCATTAGAGAACCAGAATGCATTGGATTTAATGTTCTCTATTGTACCGCCATGTCCACAATTAGTGGAATTATATGTGAATGTTAGAAATATGACGAATGTCCCATTGGACCTCGATGGTGAACATGATATCCCTTTTGAATCACTGGACCTTGAGGGACCCAACCAATGTCTTGACCATAGTCAATGCCTTGATCCCGAACCTGAGTTAGTTGTACCTCTAACTACTAATTTAGATGAAGATACGGGCTTAACTRCTGATAATAGGTTTATAGAACTCAGGATAGCGACAAATGATGAGTTTGATGAATTGGAACTCGAGAGTGAACATGAGATCCCTCCTCAAACATTTAATGACATGGACAGTGTTAACAGTATTGTAGAACACGAGTCTATGTTGCGACCAGTGACAGTTGAAAATGATATGTTGTACAAGGGGTTCATGTGTAATGATAAAAAAACTATGCAACATATCGTCAAACGTTTTGCTGTAAAGAGTCACCACCCTTACGAAGTTGTAGAGTCGACACCAWMTATGTGGGCAGTTAGATGTAAGAAGTGGCAAGATGGATGCAACTGGCGACTTCGTGCGATTATTAAGAAAAGTATTAACCTATTGGAGATTACAAAGTACGTGGACCAACATTCTTGTGTATATTCRGAATTTAATCAAAGTCATTGTCAATTGGATTCAAATATGATAAGTAGAGAATTTTGTGATGCAGTGAGAGCTAATCCTTCTACAAGTATTGCGACATTTCAAGATCTGATCAAGGAAAAATTTGGATATCATGTTCCTTATGGGAGGGTCTGGGAAGGAAAAACAAAAGCTTTGGCTCGTATTTTTGGTGACTGGGATGAGACATATAAACTTTTGCCAAAATGGATGTACATGCTGAAACACACTAATCCTGAAACAATTGTTGAATGGAAAATTAGGAACTAYGGACAACCGGGTCATGGCATTCTTCATTCTGTATTTTAGTCATTCGGTCCTTGCATTGCAGCCTTTCAAAAGTTTCGGCCCGTGCTTCAAATAGATGGTACTCACCTTTACGGAAAGTATAAGGGGAAGCTATTGATTGTAACATTAGTTGATTCAAATGGACATTTGTTTCCTCTTGCTTTTGCCATTGTAGACGAAGAAAGTCGTCAGACCTGGGGATGGTTTTTGAAAAACCTAAGAAAAGTTGTTACGCATGAAGAGATGTGTTTAATTTCATATCGACATGGTGGTATTATCTCTGCGGTTAATAATCCAGATAATGGTTGGACCGAACCTAAATCGCATCACAGATTCTGTCTAGGACATGTTTCTAGCAACTTTAACCATAAATATAASTGTACCGAATTGAAAGATTTGGTATATCGTGCCGGTGCTCAATTCCAAATTCGAAAGTATGACAAGGAGGTGGAAAATATTAAATTACTGAATAGCTCTTGTATGATTTTTTTCCGCAACATTGGGATTGAGAAGTGGACCCTATCACATGATGGTGGATTTAGATATGGGTGAGTGACAACCAATCTTTCTGAATGCATTAATGAGGTGCTGAAAGGAGCTCGAATTGGAGAGAACCAAGTGTTCAACAAAGATGCGGGCTTTGTAATCAACTTGGTCACAGTYGAAGAAGCTATCCCTCGAGACGACGGGAAGCACCTTCATAGATATTGATGTAATTGAAAACTTTAGTCTGAATCATTTATGTTAGTTTAATTGTTGATGTAATTTATTTTTTTAACAAAAACTCTATGTGATTGTACCTTTAGTTTAATTGATACTCTGTGTTGTGACTATTGTTTTAAAATTTAAATTTAAGTTTCCAACTAATGATTATCTATCGTATTAGATTATGGAATTAAACCCAGGTCCTATCGATCGATCTGTATTGTATGACCAAGCTAGACATCGATCAGAGCTAGTTTGGCAGGGTCAGTGTAACGAGGAGTTGCACTGCCGACGTAGAGAGGCAGTATTGGATCGCACCATCCCATTGCATCCTTTGATTGAACCTGCATTACGCGCTTCTGGATTTTGTGGATTTGCCAGATTGGGATTCATCCAATTGGATTGGCATTTCATTACTGCGCTTGTGGAATGGTGAAGGCCAAASACTCATACATTCCACATGCCGGATGGAGAGTGTACTATCACTCTACAAGATGTAGCGGTGTAGCTTGGGTTACCGGTAGATGGCAAGCCTGTTACTGGTCGTGTTAATTATGATTGGAGAGGCACCTGTCAAGCATTACTTGGGATCACTCCAGGTGTTGCGCACATCAAAGGCTCTAGGTTGAGTCTACCTTGGCTAGCTTCTCAATTTCGTAATCTAGCCATGAGGAAACCATTGCCAGATACGCTCGTGCCTATATTATGCAGCTTATCGATGGTAGTCTATTCACCAATAAGTATAACAACTTGGTGCATTTAATGTTCCTCCCACTGTTAGTAGATTTCGAGGTAGCTGGACGTTTCAGTTGGGGTAGAGCATGTTTGACATGGTTGTATCGAAACTTGTGCAAAACGTGTCGCTCTGACTCACGTGACATTGTCGGTCCAATTATACTTCTTCAAGTATGGGCTTGGGATCAGTTCCCCACGATGGCTCCACAACGTCGTCACATGTCAGATCACGAGCTCGTGGGTCGACCATTAGCTGCCTGGTACGTCGATATAAATATTGTCCTATTTTCCTCTTAAAATTTTTTCAYGCATTCAATTGTTGTACTAACCTATAATATTATTGTAGGTGGAGAGATCAATTTTGTGTTACAAAAGTGTCTACACATGTTTTGATCCAGTATAGATACATGCTGGACCTCTTGTCACCAAGCTCGGTACGTTTTTAAATGTTAGAATATAAAAATATATATTGATTTATAATTAATTACACAGTTTTTTATTAYAATTTCAGATGATCTGGAAGCCATACGATAAGGAATTTGCCAACCTACCCGACTTTTGTGCCAATGGACATAACGTCTAGTGCACTGTGAGTCCACTCATATGCTTTCATATTGTGGAGTGGCATTATCCTGATAGAGTTACCAAAAAATGTGGTATGAAACAAACAATTCCAGAGGTGTCATGCTGGGATAAGAGATTTTATTGGCGAGGTGGCACATTTGAGATAGCACCTGGTAGGATCAGATTGCACATTTTRTGGCAAGGTGGCATATACTAAAGATTTTATTGTTATTAATCCTCYCGTCGACGACGACGGTGATTACGATCCAGGATATATGAGCTGGTATACGTTAATCACCAGACGWTATATAACTCGAGAAGGAGCAGCATTTGGTTCTACGGTACAATCTTTTATTTCGTTATAACAATTATTCAAATTAATAAATACATATTTATTAATTTTTTTCCATGTAGGTTGCGTGTTTCGAGCAAATCAGTATTCTCTCGTCATCAAACGAAATTAATATGTTGTGCAATGTTGGYGGAAGGCATCTTCAAAGCCTTCATCAAATGTACAAAGTACCTACTCCTGCTCGTGGTTCTAGGCATAGAGGACGACGTCAAGTAGACCAAGATGCTCCAGTAGGACTTGATGATC